ATTAATAATCTACAATAGACTCATCGATTGATTTCTAACACATGACCTTCTTCGTTGACAAGCAGTTTTATTTATACTTTTTTCCTCAAGCGAAGCATTCCGTTATACCTCATTTATATTCAGACGGCACGGACGCCGTTTCAAATGATCGTTAATCAAAAGCAGCAGGTGCATTGTACTGAAGCAGTCCTTGCTTAACTTGATGACGAAGAGAACAGCTGTTGATTAAAAGTCAGTGATGAATGGAGGCTAGTCTGATCTCTTTAATAAGACTGTTTTGCGCAGTGGCGTACAATGTCAAGATGATGACGTTATTCGGGAATATAACATGCAACTATGAAGGTAAGCACTGAATCCGTTCTGCACTCGACTAAAACCACAGCTGCTTTGTGCAACCGTTGTACAGCTAGAAATATCGGGAACCTCACAAACCCAAAGGTAATCAATGTAGTAAAAGAAAATATACAACCTTTATGAATTTGATAAGGACTTGGCTTAAAATTGGAGCTACTAATTTGATAAGGGATTTTGAACTACTGTAACGGCGATACACGGAGAGACCATTATTGTACAAAGGATAGCGCCTTACTGTGAGTTCAGCTTGTTTTATCTGCTGAACTGTTTCAAAGATAATGAAGAATCTCCAGTGTTGTAAAATATGATTCAACAGAGGTAAAACAACACGTTTACTAATTTATGCCAAATGTATCGATCAGATGTTCTTTCATGCGTGCTCCTTCGCCGTGGTACCAGTGACAGAACGATGAAATAATGAGAAGTACTTCTGCAAACCTCATTCAAACCAATGTCCCACCATCACTCAGTCTGTTTAAGCAGACAGACGTAATGGATTGGAAGCAGTCACAGCTACTGACAAGATAGGAAAGGAGAATGCACTGAGGATTGTAGAAGAAAATTTCTTATCTTGCGAAGTATATCCATAGGAAGAGCTCACGCGAACGAGCTGATATTTCGAGGGCAATTCCAAAGTGTTGGCTTGCGAGCTTTGTCGACCTGCATCATACTGTAGAATGTTCTACGTTGCCATCTGTATGACTGCTGGCACCGATTGATTTCGCATGCCCATTGCAAGTCATGAAATTTGTCTCTTTGTCTTCTCCTATCTGAGACATGGCCTTCTCACAGCGACGACGTTAATCAGCCACAAGAATCGACAACACACACAAACCGCTTTGTCGCGTTATTACGCTATCTGATAACTGTTAACCGCCAGTTCAGAGGTTGCCCACTTTCTTGCGTCAATTCGAACTCAAGCAAATTACGTTGAAAGTGTTGTGAAAAAAATTCGAGTTGCATGACTTTTACTTAACGCCCTTATTTCACTCCACAACACATAGCAACGGCTTTCCGTTAAACGGACAGTCCATGCGGGGTGGATGTGTGCCCTCCACAGTCTCGCTTTGTTTATTTTTAAAAATACATGTGCCGAGTATTTGTATTCATACACTTTAACAAACTTTGGTGTTTGCTGGCGATGTGATGAAGTACAATGATGACTGAGAAAAGGAACACGTCAAAGGATCTGTCTCTTTAAAGTCAACAACAATGATAAAATAGCCTTCCAATTCTAAAAATGTCAATTATGTGAATGGAAGACCTAGAACACTAGAAGTGCATTCTTAAGACTTACTGAGGATTCAGACGAAGGAATGAAGTCCTTTGTCAGATATAAAGTCAAGATATCCAGACGGTTTTCAATCTTTTCCGGCAAGTAATGGTTGGATTACAAGATTTAAGAAGTGTGTTGCTTCCAGTAAGGACCCAAATTGTAAAGACTTGAGTAAATAAACATGAAAGCTTGCTGAAGAACTAAAATTATTAGTTGATCAACAGGGTATCGATGAGTGAATTAACTCACATGAGGATCAATTATCAGATAAAGAACTCGTTGAATTGGAAGCAGCAAAATTTGCTGAGGTTTAGTTGAGAAGAGGAACCGAAACAGTTTCATGTCAGAAGAGACAACAACTGCGAGAGGTTCTGTGAGACTTCAGCGGCAATGACACAATTGAAGAAGATGGATCCTTATGGCTCACGGTTCTTAAAAGTTCAAATATTAATGGAAAATTCTGTTTCTTGTTGTGGAGTGATTTGTGAAGAGAAGAAAGCATCCGCTGTCTAAACAAATCTTGATAATTTTGCAATGATTTCGAAACGCTTAATTAAAAATTTTCATTTTTTTATTTTGTCACCTTTTATATTGTATTATATCACTTTGCAGTAATAATTACATACTGAAATCTAATTCGTGTACGCATCGTGCGAATGAAACTAACGGAAACCACCATTTATACATCTTGCTGCATGTCACTGTATGCTTATAAGCAGCATGGTGTGATTAATTACTACCGAGGTTGGGTTAAATGGAACTTAACGTGAAATTCTTGCCATGGAGTCAAAGTGGACTACAATCCCTTAGGTTTGCTTCCATTCTCAAAGGATTTCCTCCCGGTCTAATTTGCGCCAATGAAAGTCAGGTTGTCAGCAATTGTTTCTTTTAATTACGACGACTGTTTGGAAAGGCAGAGTTGCGTTTAGCAGATTAAATGGCGTTGTATAAACTCTGACTCGACGCCTGACTATGGCATCGCTGGCGTGCGATGCGCAGCGTACACGGCAACCTATCGATCGAACTCTGAAACTGCACTCGTCACATGAGGCCTGACACTCGTACGTCGCGGTAATGCGCTAACGGTAGTCATAGCTTTTCACTTACATGTAGTCCATCTTCCTTGAGTGCCCGTCGCAACTCCCCTAAAATGCGAACGAATCAGTCATTTGACGAAGATAATTTCTAATGTTAAGTATTAAATTAGTCAACGCAAATTTATAACCGATAAAGTGTGACTAATTATTTTCGTAGCCACTGCCGCATCACTGTGACTGT